GCTGCTAGGATCTAAGATACAAAACAACTGAGAATAGTGGAGATAGATACTATTTTCGTCCTTTGACTCAATATCAAAATGGGTTATGGAGAAGGTGATACTAATGAGCTACCTTTAAGGAATGCTAGAAAAACAGTTTTATAGTTTTATAAGAAGTCAAAATATACATGATTTTTCTTCAAAAATAAAGTAGAAATAGTTTCGGCTCATGGAATTGGAACTGGAATTGGAAAATGATCTGTTTCAAAATGGAAGAAAACGAAACATAATTTGTCAGATTTTATTCACAACTGCACCACTGTCTAAATTCAAATGTGTTACTTGGAGGGAGATCTCTGGATTACTTACTATATAAATATAGGATTATGATCTCAAAATACCAGTGGCTATTCTAAAGTTTCCTCCCAGTGGTATTACTGGGTATGACAATTTAGAAAGCTGCAGAATGACAGCAACATCTCAGGTTACCTGGGAAAATCCTTGACTTTGGTCTCCTTCTCTTGAACAGCCCCAGTGCCTTGACCCTTGTTTCTCACAAAGTCTTCCTCCAGCCCAGCCTGCTTCAGGGTGTCTAGATACCATTGTTCTGCTTCTTTCTTGGCTAGATCCTGTGGGATGGAAATTAATCTGTTGTAGCTATCTTACGAATTACCAGACAATTCTAAAGTACTTAATCAGTATTCTTACAATACTGCCACTACCACCACTACCCTTATTATGGGGCACGGATTTGCATGAAAATTATTTAACCCTTGTTTTCGAGCTTTAATGTGGGTATAAATCACCTGAGGTCTTGTTAAAATGCAGATTTCACATTTGGTAGGTGTCAGATGAGGACCGTAATTGTGTATTTCTGACACTCCCCAGAGATGCCGAACTGTTGATTTAGGAGCCACAATTTTGAAAAGCAATGACTTAGACTTTGGGGAGACAAATGAGACCCAGATTTAAAAGGATGGACTAAAAACCTTCTAAGATTTTAAAGCAACAAAGCATTATCAGGAGCACTAAAATAAAAAATAAGCTACACCAAGACTCTTAATGGAAGGACAGATGGTCTGCATGTGGACCAGGAGATTATTATTTTTTGTTTAAGTATTCCAAGAAAAAATCATAGAGTACTTTGTATTTTTCCTAGAGAGGTGACAGATCTGTTGAGATCTGAAGAGTGAGCTTGCTTAACATTAACATAAAGAAGCATGAGAGATTTTGAACAATGCAGGTTGCTAAGTAAATCCAAGACCATGTGTGCTTGTGTGTGCGAGAGGAGAAAGATTTACGGAGGGAGGAGGAAGTGAAGCCAGCAAATGCCTAGACAATGTACTAACTATAAGATGGAGCTAACGCCCCACCATTGGAACTAGGTCACTAGGGAGCCCCAACTTGTCTGAAACTGGAGAGGAAAAGGATCCACAGAGCCTAATGCAGCAGAACCAGAGCATCCTTACATCCTTATGGAGATCTCAGCTGAGTCCAATGTCCCTAAAAGTCTATAGAGAATATCTTAAAATGATAGTCTTCCAGGATACTTTGGGTACACTGCCTATGGGTTAGCCCTGCTCCACAAGGAACACAGACACACACGCAAACAAAATAAAAGAAGAAAAAAAAATTTCAGGCTTCCAGCCTGAAAGCCACTTAGTCTAGAAAAAGCCAGTGGGGTGTTTGTGGGCATCCTAATCCTTGGAGACTTATAAATGTGCCACAGCTCTAGAGACTGGGGAGGCCCAGGGCCAGCAGCACAGGCAGAGGAGACCTTTCCAGCACTGTGAACAGTGGCTCTAGAGCGCAGAAAGAGCCAAATGGTCCCTGTCTCTGAGGTCTGATGAACTCTGAATGCTAGACTACAGTGAAAGTTCTAGGAAGTGAAATATCCCTTTACCAATGCCTTTGGAGTCCACTCTTGGATGACATCAACACAAGCAGCATTCTCTACTGTACTATTTATTTTGGGAAAATAAGGTAGTAATGAAATTAGAATTTCTGGGCCTCAAGGAAATGTTTAATACCCATATATTAAAATTGTTTCATAATTTCTCAGAGCCTTTTTATCTAAGGCAGAAAGAAAACAAATGATGGTTTAGTTTTACCTTGGCAACTTGTTCAAAGAGATACGGCCTTGTTTGTATTCGCTTCTTCATTTCTTCCAGTTCTTTCTTATATTCTTTCGCTCTTTTACGGTCATTGTTCCTGGAATTAGCAAGATTTTTAGAATTACGTCGTTTCTAGGCCAGGCACGGTGGCTTATGCCTGTAATCCCAGCACTTTGGGAGGCCGAGACGGGCGGATCACGAGGTCAGGAGATCCAGACTATCCTGGCTAACATGGTGAAACCCCATCTCTACTAAAAATACACACAAAAAAATTAGCCAGGCGCGGTGGCGGGCGCCTGTAGTCCCAGCTACTCGGGAGGCTGAGGCAGGAGAATGGCGTCAACCCGGGGGGCGGAGCTTGCAGTGAGTGGAGATCGCACCACCGCACTCCAACCTGGGCAACAGAGCCAGATCTGTCTCAAAACAAAAAAACAAAAAAAAACTACATCGTTTCCAATCCAGAATACCGTTCATTTCCAGTTAAGCAGTGTAATTCCCATGTACATTGTAAATTCCTATGTGACTTGGAAAATCATGGCCCCGCCGCTGTGATTACAGGAGCCTGCCTACCCCAGTAACTCCATTTTGCATTTTCTGGCAACAGGCCAGTGGTCTGCTGGATCCCAAGGCAAGCACCCCTTTTGACACATAGGGGATACTGACCGGTTTTCTTTCAGCTTTGCTTTGAACACTTCCTCCAGGCTTTTATGGGGATCCATGGCTTTTGCACGCAAGGTCACAGATTTGGACATTGCTTGAGACTTCTTTTTGTGGATCTCCAGCCACTGAATACTCTCATCTGCTTTGTTCTTTTTTTCAAGTGCACTTCTAAAGGGAGGAGGCAGAAACAGAGTATAGATTACCAACCTGGGCATTCTGAAAAGCAATCTCAGGCCAGGTGTGGTGGCTCATGCTTGTAGTTCCAGCACTTTGGGAGGCCAAGGCAGCTGGATCACCTGAGGTCAGGAGTCCAAGACCAGCCTGGCCAACATGGTGAAACCTCAACTCTACTGAAAATGCAAAAATTAGCTGGATGTGGTGGTGTGCACCTGTAATCCCAACTACTTGGGAGGCTGAGGCAGCAGAATTGCTTGAACTCAGGAGGCAGAGGTTGCAATGAGCCAAGATCGCACCACTGCACTCCAGCCTGGGTGACAGAGAAAGATTTCCATCTCAAAAAAAAAAAAAAATTAGCCGGGTGCGGTGGCTCACGCCTGTAATCCCAGCACTTTGGGAGGCCGAGGCAGGCAGATCATGAGGTCAGGAGATCGAGACCATCTGGCTAATACTGTGAAGCCCCGTCTCTACTAAAAATACAAAATATTAGCTGGGTGAGGTGGCATGTGCCTGTAGTCCCAGCTACTCAGGAGGCTGAGGCTGGAGAATGGCGTGAACCCAGGAGGTGGAGGTTGCAGTGAACCGAGATCGCACCACCGCACTCCAGCCTGGGCAATAGCGAGAGACTCCGTCTCAAAAAATAAATAATAAATAAATAAAATAAAAGCAATCTTAGTAACCTTTTCTGGAAAGTAAGTTGGTGTTTTCAATGAATGCGGCATGTAATTTACCTCAACTGGCATTTTAAAAAATAATAAAATTCTAGGATTAAATGCACTGGCAGATGAAGCCTTTCCAGCATTAGGGACACAGTGACTTCCTACCCTAGAAGTGTATTTACTGAACTGGAGAAATGCCAGTTAAAATATCTTTACTTAGGCCGGGTGCGGTGGCTCACGCCTGTAATCTCAGCACTTTGGGAGGCTGAAGTGGGCTGATCACGAGGTCAGGAGTTCAAGACCAGCCTGGCCAACAAGGTGAAACCCCATCTCTACCACAACTACAGAAAAAATTAGCTGGGCGTAGTGGCACATGCCTGTAATCCCAGCTACGTGGGAGGCTGAGGCAGGAGAATCACTGAACCCGGGAGGCAGAGGTTGCAGTGAGCTGAGATTGCGCCACTGCACTCCAGCCTGGGCAACAGAGCAAGACTTCATCTCGAAAAAATATATATATATCCTTACTTAAATAGCCCAACACTCAATAGGTCTTCACCTATTGATCCAAAATAATACTAATAGCTGCCACTTACTGAGTTCCCTATTAGGAATCAAGTACCATTACATTTCACGTAGTCCTCATAACTGCCTTATGAGGTAAATACTAAATCCCCTTTTTATAGGGGAGGTGATTGAGGCTCAAAGGAGGTAAGCCACTTGCTCAAAGCTACCCAGCATGCCAGTGGAAAAGCCCGTATTGGACCAGGATCTTTGGCTCCCAAGCCTCTGGCCTTGACCACTCTGCTGTAAACGGTGGGCTGGAAGGTATCTGGGTTCATGGTTCTTTGGGAATACAAATCTGCATATTCAGAGAGAACTGGAAATGAGCCTCCTTCAGTGCAAACTATTTGGCTTCAACTTGTAGCACTTAGTTTGTTCAGTTATCTAAAAGGTAATACGCTGAATTCTTCCAAAAGGAAAATCAATCAAGACTCTTCTATTTGGATGTTTACATTCAAATGGACAGACTGGGAAGGACATGCAAATTTAATCTGCTCATATGTCAGATTCCCTGTGGCGGGAAAGCAGATGTGGATGTCCTCTATAGGTGGGCCAGCCTCTTTGTTCAGGAGGCCTGGGTTCTTGGGCCCTCAGGATCCTGAGCAATTAGCCCTGATTTAGTAGGTCTAACTGAAGTCTGAAGAAGAAAGGAGTATCCCTTGGACTGTAAGTACTTTTCTACAATCCCTGCTGTGGGGCTTAAAGATCCAAGTAGGTTCTGAGTACTCCCCTACATGCCCCATGGGAAGGCAGTAAGACATTAGTCCTCTCCCTGGCCTAAGCTGCTCATTACACCATGACCTCTCTTGCCTACTTCAGCTCCGAAGCCTGGTGGAGGAACCCTTGCTGGGGGCTGGCTCAACGAGAACAACATCATAACAGAGTCAGGTGAGTTGAAGAGTTAAAAATAAGCAGGCTCTTGCTGCCCAACGGACTCTGACATCTTCCCAACGGACTCTGAATCTCAGAGAATCTCAAATCTATGCAATGGATGTCTCATCTTTGTGGCAACTTCAGCCACCTGCTAGCATGCTTCTCTGAATTCTTGTTCCTTGTTACTCCCTTCCTCTCATCCATGGGCTTTTATCCATGTTCTGTCTGGAACCTTCCTTCTCTCCAGGCTTTGTCTGGCCAACTCTTCCTCGTTCTTCAGGTTTCAGGTTTCACTTTAGACATCTATTCCACAAGACAAGACCCCCTGCTCCAGGCTGCCCAGTGCCCTCACGGTCCCCTCTACCCCCAATCATTGCACTACTCAAAAAATACGGCCATTGCTTCTTTGCTTTTCTCTATTTCAGACTAGATAATAAACTGTAGGTTCTCTAAGATCTCCAGCCTTAACACTGTGCCTGGCACAGAATAAGCCCACTGTGAATATGTGCTGAATGATGGCTAGCTGTTCTCCAAGCACCAGGTGTGGAGAACCGCAATTGTTCCTGTCCTGATCAGAAAATTCCCTTTGACCCCTTGAGGTGTCTCTGATAACAGAGGAAAGGAGGCCCCTCAGTAGGGAGGTTTCCAGCATTTGGGGCCAGAATCAGAGCATGGGTCTTGTGCAGCCTGACCACTCACCTGACTACAGATTCCCTCTTCCTGGTGGCATCTGTGATGTGCACAGGGAGAGTGTTGGCAGAGAGGGAAGCAAGGCCACTCAGAGAACGACTCCTTGGCAGGGGTGGAGCTGGTGGCTGTGGGGAATCCTAGAAGAAACAAAGGCTGGTATTGGTGGGACAGCATGTGTGATTAGTTTCTTTTTTTTTTTTTGAGACAGAGTCTCGTCTCGCTCTTTTGCCCAGGCTAGAGTGCAGTGGCCAATTGAGGCTCACTGCAACCTCCGCCTGCCTGGTTCAAGCAGTTCTCTTGCTTCAGCCTCCCACGTAGCTGGGACTATACAGTTTGTGAGCCACCACGCCCAGCTAAATTTTTGCAGTTTTAGCAGAGACAGGGTTTCACCATGTTGGTCAGGCTGGTCTCGAATTCCTGACCTCAGGTGATCCACCCGCCTCGGCCTCCCAAAGTGCTGGGATTACAGGTGTGAACCACCACGCCCAGCCGTTTTCTATCTTTACTAGGATTCAATTTAACTGAAGGACTGAAAATGAGAATCTTTTTTTTTTTTTTTCCTGGGAATAAGGCAAGGATAATGAGATCTCAAGTTTCGTAACCAAGCCAAGACTTGGATATCAATCCTAAAGTTTTTAGTCAAATGAGAAGAGTTCCTTGGAATTGGTATAGGAACATCAACAACTGATCCCAACTCCTTGCCTCTCAGGCCTGCTTGGACTTATTTCTGTGAAATCCTTCTAGAGCAAGGGAGGAAGAGGAGTGTCCCTATGGTTTGTTTTTGTTTTGTTCTGTTTTTGAGATGAACTTTGACTCTTGTTGCCCAGGCTGGAGTGCCGTGGTGCAATCTCAGCTCACTGCAACCTCTGCCTCCCAGGTTCAAGCAATTCTCCTGCCTCAGCCTCTGGAGTAGCTTGGATTACAGGTGCCGGCCACCACACCCAGCTAATTTTTGTATTTGTTTGTTTGTTTGTTTTTGAGACGGAGTCTCAAAACAGGTACATGCCACCACGTGTGGCAAATGTTTGTTTTGTTTTGTTTTGAAGAGATGGGGTCTCTATGTTGCCCAGGCTGGGCTGTGGTCTGGAGTTTATAGGAAAGTGAATCTGTTTATAACTGAGCTGGTGTTTAAAAAAGATAGGAAACCCTTGTTGAGAAGTGCTTTCCAGAAAGACCTGGCCCCACCCTGTATTTCAGGCCTTAGCCCTGACCCTCCCACAGCTGCCTGGGCTCTCACCGGCCTCCCTCCGGTGGTGGCAGCATCGCAGGGCCGCTGAGGGTGGTGCAGGTTGGAGGTCCTCAGCAAGAAGGGCTTGTTGCGAGTGGCCTCTTGGGTTTCTCTTCTTTTGGCTGCTTTTCTCTGGAAGGCCTTGTAAAGGCCCTCATAGTCAGGGACTATGGGATTCACCCGAGGCTGGAATCCAAAGTGAGTGTGCAGAAACCCAAGCTTTTCCTGCTGGGTTCGGGTGGCTGTGCGGGGCTGGGGGTTAGCCCGGTTACCAGAGGAGGCGATAGGGGAAGACGCCATCTGGAGCATGTCCAGGGCTCTCATCTGGATGCGAATTTTCCTGAAGAGCTCAGCTTCTGTGGAGACAGGATGGTGATGGGTAAGAAAGGACCAGGCATGAAACCTACAGGGTTGGAGAACTTTCCCTCTTTTACACACTAGCCGTAAGTGTACTGGAGGCAACTATGAACTTTTCGGGAATTCTGACACGTTAACATCCTGTGCGATGCTTGCAGATGGCCTTAATAGGAGTATTTATGCCACAGAAAATAACAAATGTTACAAACCAGCTTGCTTGCTTTTTTCTGGAGAGCTTGTTAATAAATGTCATCCAGAACACCACTGCCTGTGCCAGTCAGGCTGCAGAAGCAGCGACCAGCTACACTCACTGAGCACTTTCTACGACTGCTTCTTTACAGATGAAGCAGAGGAAGTGGGCCAGCCGCCTGCTCCTCTCCCATGTTTCCCCATCTCAGAGAAAGGCCCCACCATCCACCCAGCTGCCCAGGCCCTCTGCCCACATCACTGACTCCTCCGTGTCTCTCATCAGTCACAAGTTGTCACTTCCTCCTCTTTAACCTCTCTCCAGCCCATCCTCTTTTCTTCACCCCTGCAACCAGCTGCATAATTTCTCAATTGAATGGTGAAATAGCTTCCTCTTGGCTCAGCAGCCCTCCAGTCTTGCTGCCCTCTTGGATCATCTACACAACAATCAGAAGGATCCTTCTGAACTAGATTTCTGATCGTGGGTCACCCTGCCTCAGTCCCTCAGTGGCTCCCCTGTGCCCTTGGGATGAAGTCCAGACTCGCTAGCGTGGCTTGCAAAGCTCCTCATGTCTAGCCCATGTCTGCCTCTCCCTTCCCACTCCCTCTTCTCTCAGCCCTCTACCTTTCCAGCCCTTGCAGATGCTCCACTTTCTCTCCCCTCCATGCCACATTCTGCCTGTTCCACTTCTCCTCCCTCTTCGCCCCTCCTTTAGTTCAGCCCCAGGGCCCACTTTCTTAGGGGACCTTCCCCAACTGCTCCTTTCCTTCACCAATCCCCGGGTTAGGTCCCTCTGATATATGTTTCCATGCTTCCCCCTTTAATCCTTGTAAATAACTCACCACGTTTGTATGCATTTGTGTTTATCTGTTGTCCTCACATGTCTACAAACTCCATGTCTGTGTGTTCACCATGGCACAGTGCCTGGAGCACGGCACATGCCACTGAAAAGTGAATAAAGCCTGAGCCCCTTATTTGGAGCTATACTTTTTGAAATGTGTAAATAATCATCCCCCACATAATTTCAGTGACTGACGCCACCTCACCAGGATGAAGGGGCCGTGGGGGAGCATCTCAGGGCAGTATGCTGGTGGTGGCATGAGCCCAAGCTGGTCCTCAGGTGTCTCACTGGTTCTCTATTCCTGCACCTCTGCTGGTGCAGAGGCCCTCATGTGCATTCACTCAGCTGTCAACAGGACGAGCCTTGGGGACACTGTGGGACCTTTCAGTCCTTACTCCATACAGGCCCCGATTGTGTACAGACCTAACCCTCCCCGATGGCCTGCACTAAACGTGCAGCCTCTAGTGGGTCCCCCCAAACAGCAAATCTCCAAGCCAGGCCAACCCCTGGGCCCTGACTAAATCCCTACAGTGGAATTGGTACCCCAAGGCAGGAGGTAGCAAGGTGGCAAGGATGTCTTTACCCTGGAGTTTATCCCCAAGGGCTGGCTCCAGAATGGACTTGGGGATCCTTCTGGTGGCCTTCTGCTTGGAGATCTTGGCTTCAGCTGTGGCAGCCAAGTCTCTCTGTCGAGCAGCTTCCTTTAGTTGCTCCTCCTTCTCCAGGAAGCTGAAGGGCTTCAAAGAAGAGAGGAGCAGTTCCTTCCTCTTCTGAATCCCTGCCCGCCTTCGGGCCTCGCTGCGCTCCATGATCTCTTGGTAGAGGGGCAGGTAGACATGTGCAGGCACAGGCTGTGCCCGGAACTGCCTGTGGCACTCAGCCTCTTCCTCACCCTGCCTCCGGGCCCGCTGCCTCTCCTGCTCAAAGGAGGCAGGTGAGCCCAGCCACTCGGCCTTCTTCCGGGCCTCGCGCAGTGTCATGCGAAATGGCCGAGGGACAGTAATGGATGATGCCCAGGAGCTGACACTTCTGTGCTGGGAGGAAGGCCGGGAGCCTGAGGGTGGCTGGGTCGGAGCCCTGGGAATGTTGGAGGGAAGGTTGC